TCTGTGATTATTAGACAACCGAAACGATAAACTACTATCCCTTGTTGCGCATAAAACAAAGATTTTTCGGGAGCAAAATACGTGTGGGAGTATCGAATAACGAAGGAGTAGTGCTAGAAATGACATTTCTTGCGTGTACAGAGAATGCAATTTTTTTTTAACTACTAAATCTATTTTAGCAACAAAAATTTTTCATTCCGGCGCATTCCCTGCATGTTTAGCACCAAAAAATCCTGTTTTGATAATTTTCAAAAACTATCTCCTTGGCACAAATGAGACTTGTTTGAGAATTGTCGTTTTTCTCTCAGTGTACTCCCAAGAATAGCCAAAAGTCATTAAAAAAATACATTAAATCAAATTTTTTTCCGCTTGAATTGCGTCAAACAGTCGTTTTTCTCGTTTCATTTGTCCCACTCTCCCCTATAAAAAGTCATTCTCCTAAGAATAACCAATGACCTTCCGCCTTTGCAGGCTGGCCCCTGCGGAATCTCCTCTGCCTCCTCATCTACACGACTCCCGCCTACTCCTTCTCCCAAAGAATCCCGATAATCTCCTACCGAGGGGACGACTCCCTCCTCTACCACCTGAAATCCGCCCCCAACCAGAACGAGACCCAAGCAAAGACGGCCATAATCCAGGGTAAACTAGTCGGTTGGGAGTCGAACATCAGCGGCAAGATGGGTCCCAACATCGCCGACCTCTCGCAGTCCATGGACCCCACGAGAATGGCGGCCCGAGCAGTCGACCTGAACCTGAAGCTCATGAAGTGGCGCCTAGTCCCGGACCTCGACCTCGATAAAATCAGCAAATTAAGGTGTTTGTTATTGGGCGCAGGGACCCTGGGCTGCTCAGTGGCCAGAGTGTTAATCGGCTGGGGCATCAAGACCATCACCTTCGTCGACAACTCCACAGTGTCCCACAGCAACACCGTGAGACAGAGTCTCTACACCCACGAGGACGCTGTCAATCGACGACTGAAAGCAGAGGCTGCGAGGGAGGCGCTCCTCAGGATCTGCCCCAGCTTCAATGTCGAGGGGGTTGTCCTCCAGATCCCCATGCCTGGCCACGTCGTGGGCCAGAGTCTGCTGGAGTCCACGAGGTCTGCTGTGAAAACCCTAGAGGAACAGGTCCTCAAACATGACGTTGTCTTTCTCGTTTTGGACTCGAGGGAGGCCAGGTGGCTGCCAACAGTCCTCTGCGCTGCACACGACAAAATCGCGATCAATGCTGCTCTGGGGTTCGACTCCTACACTGTCCAGAGGCATGGCACCAGGAGAAGCGTCTCGGCTAGCTCCCCAGATCTCTCTGTGAGGTACCCAGCAGGCAGTGATCTTGGCTGCTACTTCTGTAATGATGTCACTCAGCCTGGGAATTCCCAGGTCGACAGGACTCTGGATCAGCAGTGCACTGTCAGCAGACCTGGGCTGTCTCCCATTGCAGCTGGACTCGCGGTGGAACTGATGGTGGGGCTGACTCAGCACTCCAAGGGGGTCGAGGCGAATGCCTTCGTCGAGGATGGGAAGGGCTTCTGCAGGAGCGAACGGGAAGGGTGTGAGGGCCTGCTGGGGGCGGTGCCGCATACCGTGCGTGGGTCGCTCTGGAGTCATGAGATGAGGCTCACCATCACACACAGGTTCCCCTCGTGCACCGCGTGCTCGGCTCCCGTTGTCAATGAGTACAGGGAGAGGGGGTTCGAGTTCATTCTGGAGGCTTGCAACCAACCGAATTATCTGGAGAGGCTCGCTGGCTTGGAGGATCTGCTGAGGAATCCTAATCTTGATGAGGTAGGGTTTTTTTTATTGTTTAGAGTGCTTAAAGTGGCTCTACCCTTACGGCAAATTCAAAGATTATTGAAAACTGCCAAAAAATTGCAGAAAACTCGATTGGATTCGGAATTCTAATTTTTTTCTCAATTTAATTATCGCTTTGGTTTTCCAAGAAGAAATGTTTAAAAATCAGGATTTAACCCAGTGTCTTTTGTGAAAATCAACATTTCCATTGAAATCAAAGATTAAAATCCGAATTTTTTTTCATTAGATGTGAAAAAATCAAGAATTTTTTTGACACCTCATAAAAAATAATCCAGCGTTTTGCAAACAAGTTTTATTATTTATTTATAAGAGGGTAATGTTTGAAAAAATATCAGTATTTTGCGAAATTTAATTTAGATAATACTGACTGGGTATGAATTTTTTCAAATTTTTTCCATGCATGTGCAGTTGAAAAATTTAAAAACGGTTCAATATCGAGACTCAAATTCAGACCTGCGAAGTTTAATAATAAAATCATTGTAAAATGTCCGGAAACTTAGAGTCAAATAGGGCTCAAAGGAAAGTTAAAGACTGCTTCATAACAAAGATTTCATGATTTTGTTGCAGTTGTGCTACGCTATTGACACATCCAGCGATGAAGAAGACAGCATAATTCTCTCGAAAGTGTAAAAATATTGCCAGGGCCGGTTGCACCAAGCCCTGTTAGCCAAACAAATCGTCAGAATAAATTCAGTAGCGAAGTGGTAAAAGGAGATAAGTCAATTTTGACTATTGACCAGTTTTCAATGAATATCTCGGAATCTAAGGAAGATAGCAAAATTTTTTTTATAACCTTTTTTGTGGAGTCGATTGAGGGCTACAACAAATGGAGTTACGAAAATTTCGCTATCTCCCTTAGATTCGGAAATATTCCTCAAAAACTCAACTGGGAGATGTCGACTTATCTCCGTTTACCACTTCACTACTGAATTTATGTCTGGAGTAAATTTATTCCATAGTTAGGCAATTTTAGGAGCTTGTCGTGGAGTGCTTTCACGCAGCCGTTCGGTCGTGAATATCAACTAATGACTTCATAATTAATAGTCTCTAATTGCAACTGAGGATTTTCTTAACTGGGCTTGGTGCAACCGGGCCACAATCGATGTGTGGTTTTGGAGAGAAAAATCGACTGAATGCGAGACGTGAAAAAGTACAAATATGAGGGTATTAATTTTACGTTCCTCGTAGCACTCTTCATAATTTTGATATTTTAGATAAGCTTTGACACAGATGCGGAGATGAAACACTTACGCCGACGCATTTCCTCAACTGTATTGTATACTTATTACTTAATCACGATTTTGACAATAAAATCCAAATTGTCTGAATGGAAAATACTGTTTCATCAGTTTAAGTGCCAGCACTCTTAGCTCTTTTTAACTCTGAAAGGGAAATGAATCAATTAGAGAGATATAAAAAACAGAAAGACTTACTCAATTGAACATTCTCACAACTGGGTACAATGAAAAATAGACTACGGACATTCCAATCGTGAAAGCTATCTCCCCTCCACAGACATCTAAAAAATCTAACAATTGTGTCTAGCTAGAAGAAAAGACTTGAAAAAAAAACGACGTGTCCTTGCTCGGAGTAAAGTCTCCCGACCTCGTAGCACAACTCAAGAATGACGTGACACGGACGAAAAAATTTAATAGAAAAATCTATCGAATTCGTTAGAACATTCTATTGAATTTCTATTGAACTGTTCTATTAGTTTTTGGCCGATTCTACTGAAATGTTCAATAGAGAATATTATAAATAGTAGAAAAAATCAATAGAATTCAATTTTTCTATGTAACTTATTCTATTGAGATATTCTATAGAAAACTATAGAATTTCCTCGGCTCAAATTTTCCAAGTTTTTTCGTTTGATTTTCTTGATGAAAAAAAATAAAAATAGAATGAAAAAAACTTGGAAAAGTAGAGTCGAGCAAATTCTATAGAAAATATATTAAAAGAATAAGTTATATAGAAAAGCGACTTCTGTTAACTTTTTCTATTGAACATGTCAATAGAGTCAGCCAAAAACTAATAGAAAGTTTAATAGAAATTCATTACAATTTTCTAACGAATTCGATAGGTTTTTCTATTAAATTTTTTCGTGCGTGGAAAGCAGTACAAATGCGTTCGGAATTAGAATATAATTTGAGCGCGTAATGACGTTGAATCAGATTGATTTTGATTTTCAACTTCAACTTTTGGAATCATTGGAGATGAAGAGGCAGTATATATAGTTCATATCGGTATTAATCTATCTATGACCCGATAGAAAATTCTAGCGCATTCGCCAAAATGTTCTAGTATTTTTTCGCGAATTTTCATTGAAAATTCTGCAGCAAAAATTCGAAGAGAAAACCAAGAGATTTTGATTTTTTGATTAAACTTTTTGCGTCAATTTTTTTTCTACAAAGTTTCCTGTTTTCGCTTCTGTTCGTTTTCTATGAAATACTCTATTTTCTCTCCCAGCTTATCCGCGCATTTTCAACTAGAAATGTTAAATAAAAAATATTCTATAGAAAAAATCAAGAGTTCAATTTTTCTAAACAACTTATTTTATTGATATATTTTCAAAAGAGATTCCTCGGTTCATACTTTTTCAAGCTATTGTGTTTCATTTCTTTAATGAGAAGAGTAAAAAACTAGAGTAGAAAAAGCTTAGAAAATTCATGATGACTGATTCCTATAGGAGATATTAAATAGAAAAATGAAATCGGGAACTCTCGCCAATTACCGTTTACTATCCGAAATTTTAAACCCATGAAATATCGGATAATTTATCTCCCGATATAATGTACCAAGGATAAATTGCCTGGAGATCAATGTCACCAATACAACTGTCGCTGGAAAAATTGTCTTCGATTGTCTATTCATTTGGAGATTTTGCGTGTTAGGGTAAACTGCCCAGTAGATGGACGTTTATTTTTTAGCAATTGGAAAAAAAATTGTTGGAAAAAAAAATCGTCACTCAGGGAATAAGAATCACAACAGTTAGTGAAAATTCAAAGCAACAATTCACATTTCAGTATTTTTTTGCGTAATTCCCTATCCAAAAGTAGCTCGTCCATCTATAGGGCAGTGTCCATCTACTGGGTAGCTTACCCTACCACAGTGCGGGATGGTATGAAATTGCTCTCCAAATTCTCTTCTTCTGCTTTGTTGTTTTCTCCACACTCTCTCACTCTCGCCCTTCCCCTTGCCGCCCCGCTGGGACCGAGCCAAGAGCAGCGAGAAGACGAATAAAAGAAATTCCTCACCGATTGGGAAGAATTTACCGCCCAAAACGCGGGGTAATAACTGTGATGGACAAAGGGAATGTCATACAATCGCATTCCATGTCCAGAGATATTCATCTTCGCGTGGAAAATGAATACTCTGTCATTTCTTCCCGCATAAAGGACAGAGTATCGACTATCTGAGACGTGATTACTCTACAGAGAAATCTTTACACAGAAAACTTGAAGATTTTTAATTGTTATCAGGAAAAATGGTACGACGAAAAATAGTCGGGGAAGAAAAATTGTGGAATCTACGAGGCCATTTGGGCTTGAAATATGCGGAATGTTATCAATATTATCTGAGTACACATAACTCCATATCGACAAAGTGAGCATTCTCCATGTGGACATACCACATACCACAAGCATTATAATTCTCATTAATTCATTTCCTACACGCAAGCCCTTTTTTGATCACATATTTTTACGGGCAGAATTTAACATTCTATTATTCTTTTCTTCTCATTGCGAAAATCAAATTAAAAACTTGGAAAATTCGATCCGGGGGAAATTCTATTGACTAGGAAAGGCACCGCGCTTCGCACGCGTATGATTGGCTCATTTCTACGTATTATTTTTGATCATTATGTATTCATTTATTCATCAAAAAGGACTTAATGTCCATTTTTATTATTTTCAGAAAAGATCTTTAAAAATTTGATGATATTATATATATAATATGCTTATATTTCATATATATAATATAATAATATAGGGGAGGTAGGGGCAAAGCGGACCCCCGGGGCAAAGCGGACCCCTTCGAAAAAAAAAAGTGTGGGGTAAAGTGGACCCTCACATAAATTATTGAATCGAGTCGCCAGAATTATTCTAATACGTTTTATAAAGTGAAATTTACTACCTTGACTAAAAAAATATGCAATGAGGGCAAGTATAAATTTGTGTGAGCTCCTGCGGATCTAATTGTGAACAAGAAATGTGAGTTTTTGATCAACAGCGATTACATTCTATCCAATCGGTAGAACAACATGACAATGACTCCTGACAAACGGAAAATTAAAATAATTTTAAAAAAACAGAGGGTCCACTTTGCCCCAACATTAATTTTTTTTTAAATTTAATGACAGATCTTAATTGCAATTCTAATGAGATTATGATCTCCACGTGAAGTGCATTGACTCATTAGAATTTAAAAACTAAACGATTCGCTTAGAGGGTCCGCTTTGCCCCTACCTCCCCTAATTATTAAAAAAAATATTGATAAAAAATGAAAGTATACATATAAAATATTTTTCTATATATATTTTTTTATTATAATATTATTATAATATTAAATACATATATATGTGTACGTCCACGTGAAAAGGGCCCACTTTGCCGCATCTAGTTTCCGAGATATTCACGTTTTTCTCTCCACATCTCCCATTTAAACCAATGTTAAATTGTTTTTTTGATCGTCTATACTGACGTCAGTTTTCATCCTATCGGGTTGATTTTGGGCTCAAAATGTGAGAAATCTGATCAAGATTATCGGAACATACATAACTCCAATACCGTCAAAGTGGGCCCTTTTCATGTGGATGCCCACATATATATACATATATTTATGAAAATATTAGAAAATTTTTATATAAAAAAATAAGGCAATCAGTAATATATATAACAGATAATTAATATAGATAATTTGAAAGAAATTAAATAAAAAGGTATTCAAGTTTAGGATGGAAATATTCCTAAGCATAGGCACGGCGTAATAGATTGCTGACAAAAAACCTTATTCTTTTTTTTAAGAGGACTATCCTATTGAACATCTGAATAGAATCGGCCAAAAACTAATAGAAAGTTCAATAAAAATCGCCCAGAATTTCCTAACGAATTCGCCAGGTTTTTCTATAAAACTTTTCGTCCGTCCCATTTCGATCGAAATGAAATGCTCTCTCACATTTCGTGGGCGGCAGCAAGCGCAAAAATGTGGAGGGGACCCGCCATAAAATCCCGCAGCGACATCTGTTGCTCACACTGCGCACGATTTGCTCGCGAGTCACTCTCGAGATTCCTCCCTATACATTACCTTACGGAATTCCGTGCATTCCAGTGTAACGTATAAAGTGGTAAAACTCTTTCGTTATAAAAGAAGAAATAGGTAGTTGAAAGTGGCAGAGAGGGGGCGAGGCGGAGGGTCAGGAGGGAGAGATAGGTAAAGGCAGAAGGGAAATACTCGTGTGGATACGCTGCTCGTGTCAGACGTTATATGCCAACCCCGTGTGGTACCGTCCGCCCGCATACCATTAGATTTTCTCATTCCGTTTTCAATGGAAATAAACGGAGCGAAACGTCTACGTTTCACCGGTCAATAACAAGAACTTCATTTCTTTCATTTATTTACTATCGATAAAAGTTGAATCGGCAAAAAGTGTCAAGTGAGTTTAAACTGTTGCTGTTTTTTTTTAAAGTGTAATTGGATTTTTATTTCACC